TTGCATGCGGTATTCCGCATCACACATCAGCTCATGGAAGCAACGAAAGTTAATAATACCCTAGCGTATCCCACTGAAGTAGGTGAACTAATAAGTGATGCAGATTTCACCCTGAGAAAGTTTTTAAACCATCACCAAATAGGATTCCGTTCAGAAAAAACTCCTTTCGAAATAATTAATTTAAATATGATAACACAGCTTCCTTTAGAACCGATGCATTTAATAGACCTAGTATTTCGAAAAAGTTTTTGACTAGGATTTTAAAAAATAAACTAAATTCTGATATGAGATTAACTTAGGAAGACAAGAAAAATATTTCAGAACATTTGGTTTCACTTAAAACTCATATACCGAAGGAATTCGTTCGTCTGCCTCGAAGTCTGGATGAGGTTCCGCACTGGAAAGCCACTGAATTTAGGCAATTTTTGCTTTATACCGGGAACTTAGTCCTTAAAGAAAAGGTGCATGAAAGTATTTATTACGAATTCTTGTTGTCATCAGAAGCTTCCTGCGGCATGGCTTCGGGCCGCCCACGTTCGCCATCAGCCGGCTTAGAGCCACCGTGCTCTGCGCAGCTTTTTAACATACTCCATAAATGTGTTCCCAGAATGTGAGTTTGCTGTCAAGCTTCACACCTAGGTATTTCGTGGACCTAGAAGTCGTCACGAGTTGAGGTCCGACCATCATATTTATAATTGTTGGGATCCGTTTCCTGGTGAGGAGCACGATCTCCGTTTTGGCTGTAGCCAATTGTAGACCGTGATCACTCATCCATCCACTGACGGCGCGCATGACCTGGTTTAGCTTGAGCTGTGCTAGCTGGACGTTTCTTGCAGTTATGACGGCGGCCACGTCGTCCGTGAAGGCGACAAGGAAGGTGCTCTCCGGCATTTCTGTGCGCAACAGACTGTCATACGTGGCGTTCCAGAGGTCCGGGCCAAGTACAGACCCCTGTGCCGCTCCTCCTTCTCTTTCTCTGACCTTATGTTGTGTCGTACAAAAGCCAACGGTCTCTGAGGTAGTCCCGGATCATATCTAACAAGTATGTTGGAACCTTGAATGACCGTTCCAAGGCCTCCAGCATGTCGTGCCATCTTACCGAGTTGAAGGCGTTCTTGACGTCCAGTGTGACTAGCAGCACTATTGGCCGCGCCTGGTGGCAGGCTTCTTCGGCCTTATGTACCGCCTCGACTACTTCGCCAATTGCTCCTATAGTTGAGTGTCCCGTCCTGAAGCCATGTTGTCGGGGTGAAAGACCTCCCTCGCTTTATATGGCTGACGTCAAGCGTATTTTGAGCAAACTCTCCATCATTTTGCTTGCTGTGTCTAGAATGCAGAGTGGCCGGAAAGATGAAGGAGAGTTTGGGTCCCCTTTGCCCTTGGGTACAAGCACCAGTCTCGCCTTCTTCCATTGGCTTGGGAAGACCAGGGCCCTAAGGCAGCTGTTGTACATGTTAAGCAGGAGATCAGGGCACGTTTTCGCTGCTAACCTGATAGCCTCCGCTGGTATGCCATCTGGGCCTGGAGCCTTGTCGGCTCTCATGCTTCGCATGGCTAGCTTCAGCTCGTCTGTCGAAAACAGTGGTGCCTCGGCTTGCTCCTCGACGAACACTGTATCTGCTCTAAGTGGGTGTGTGGGAAATAGCGCATCCACTATATTCTTAACTCGGGCCTCATCCATCGCTTGCGATGATGTGTGGAACTTTTTCATCACTATTTTGTATCCCTGGCCTCAGGGCTCGCGATCCACTTCATCACATAGCGCTTTCCAGCAGTTCCGTTTACTCTTCTGTATCTCGGCCCCAAGTGCTTTCTTAGCGCTTTTGTAGGCTGCTGCTCTGGTCGGCGCCTCAGTCTACCACGAGCGCGCGTTGCGAGTCTCCGCATTCTATGGCAGGCCCTTCGCCGCTCTGCAGTTCGGTCATTCCACCAGTATACCTGCTTTTTACCTTACCATGCTCTCCTCTGTGGCATTGAGGCTTTGCATGCCCGGTGAATGCAGCGCATGGTTTCTTCGACCAGCTTAGTATAAGACTCCCTGTTGTGGATCTCTCCCGTTGCGGGTGAAATACCTTGGGAATCTGCTAGTAGTGATGTATCGAACTTGCGAACATCGACCCTAGACGGGTTCGATCCTGGTTTCCTGCGAGGGATACTACGTGTTTGCCCTCGCGTTATGTCAGTGACTTGGAAGGTGATGTAGTTGTGGTCGCTACCATTCAGGTCTTCCATCACTCTTCATCCGTCAGCCCTTCGAAGAAGGCTTTCTGAGACCAGGGTTATGTCAGGGATAGAGTATCCAAAACCCGCCCTTCGATATGTAGAGGTCGTTCCGGTGTTGAGGATGGTCAGGTCAATGCGGGCTGCCATTTCAAGGACCAGTCTTCCCCTGGTGTTTTTTTGGGGCATACCCCATTCCACGCCTCTTGCGTTGAAATCTCCAGCAACAGTTATGTGGCCGGTTATATCGCGCAATCCGTCTTCAAGGTCTTCGAACTTTTCCCTGAAGACAAGGACTGTGTCGATTGGAGACAGGTAGCAGCTCACCAGAGTGATTTGCGCCATTTTCACCCAGACTCTGCGCGGTGGTTGGGGTTAGCAATTCATATCGCGGCCGAGCCGGATTGGTCAACATGCCAGGTTTCCTTTGTTCTATAGGGTTCACTGATGATGACAGCGCCTGCTCTTTGTTCAAGAACCAATTGGTCCAGCAGGTCATCAGTTACCCTACTCCTGTTCATATTGCCTTGTATAAATTTAATCATATTCTCCCAAGCTTTGTCTTAGCCTCAGCAAAGGCATCCCTGAAGGCCTTGCACGCTCCCGACCCGGCCAGGTGATTGGCATTTTTCTGTCCATCTCCTGCCGAGCACCGGTAGCAGCTTGGGCTTTCTTTACATGCAGAGGCTATGTGGCCCTGCTGACCACATTTCCAGCATGAACTGCTTCTGTCTGGGCCTTTGCATGCCGACTTGTTGTGGCTATATCCCAGACAGCGAAAACACCTTTGGACATCCGCGCGCTCTCGGACACGGCAGATAATCCAACCTGCTCGCAGCTTCCCCTTTTCAATAAGAGTCCGGCCTGGCAGTTCGTCGATTTCCACCACGCCCATTCTTTGTTATCGCGAGTTTACAGCGAGGAGAGAGACGCGAAGTTGGCCATTCATCTTGTCTCCTGTATAGCGTCCGCGTATATCGTTCTCCACTTCTGGGGCCGTGGTTAGGCAGTCCATGCCCAGAACTTCTAGACGTAAACTTCTAGTGAGAATACGGGCGTCTCCAAGCTGGCCAATGGCAGTGCACACATTTTCCTTAAATGCTGAGTGGTCGCCACAGCGCTCCATTTCGATAAGCACGCCGCCTTCACGGGTTTTCCGAACAGATCGAATTACGGTCTCCGTCTTCTCAGGTTGAAGCTTACCATGTATCGTTCCCAGAACCTCTGCATAGGTTTTGCCTTCAGCTGGCTTAATAATTAGTTTGGCGAGACTCTTCTTTTTTCTCACCACTATTGCCTTATTTTTAATTATTTATTTTTTCATTTAACATTATGTGTGTTTTTCGTATTCCTCATGGATTTTTGAGCTTAACAATATGAACAATTCGGAAGTAGGTAGAGGAAAGTCATCAGAAATTCGTCGAATGAATGTGGCGAGCTCTAAAATGTTAACTGGTATGTTAGTTACTACTGTTCAATATTTGTATATTTATATTTCAATCACTATATTTAAGATACTCTTTCTAATTTATTATTTAGATCGCGATTCAAATGATGGCTGCGAAAGATGTAAAAACTTGGAAAAGTTGTTCTCCGAAAAAATCTCTAAATTAGCAGGTATATTTATTGTTATATTCATGGGTTTCACTTTCTCCTATTTTTCTCTTGTTTTTTACAGAATTAATCGAAAGGCAAAACAAGTTCGTTGTTGGTGTTCTGGCGGAGCACACTGTACTTTTGGAGCAGGTGACAAACAAAGAAAAGGGCGCTGCTTCACGATTTACTCTTAAAACAGATGAGGACATTGCAAAATTAGAGTGTGAAATAAACGACATCAACCGGGACTCTTACGTAATAGTTTATATTCAATATATTTTAAAAATGTTTGTAATGGTCACTTTAAACGACTTGATATAATTATATTACAGATTGCAGCAGTACAATATTTGCTCCAGGAGAAGCTTTTGTCTCCAATATAATATATATGGAATCGCAGGAAAAAAGTGCCTTAAGGACTTTCCCGAGGTGTTAACCGTTTTAAAAAGTAAGAGAAATTAAGATTTACACTAAATTTTCACAATAAATTATATTCCGAATTCATGTTCACAGAAGCCATTGGGAAAACCTCGGTCGATGCAGAAGCCGAAATACGGAAGTCTTTCCAAGTCGTCAAAAAACGGCACTTCCGTATGGTTTCTTTTGCAAAATCTTAAATGGATGCTCTTCGAAATCTATTATTTTTGAATAGTATTTAACTTATTTCAATTAATGCATCTTTCTCGTTATTTACTTACTTTATTTTATTCCTCAATTCTTAGAAGCAATTCAAAGCTTAATTTATTTTCATTAACAATTAACTTCAAAGTTTATTACTTTAAATTTCCTAAAATGAATTACTAATGTTTAGTTTTTTCATTTAATATGTACAATTACTTCAAATTAAATAATTCATTAATTTTGAATTACACAAGTTCATGTTTTTAAAACTAAACTAGCTTTTCATCATATTAATAAATTAATTTTCTTTAATTATTAAGTTTAAAAATTATCATTAATTTCTAAAATTTATTTTTTAAGCATTAAATCAAATAAAATCTTTATTATTACTATTATTAATATTATTATAACTATTAAATTGTAAGGAACGCATAATATAACAATACAATTTTAACTAACCTAAAATAGAATAAAAATATTATTATAAATATAAAATAATAAATTAATTTTATAAACTATTTTCCATTCATTTAATTTAGTCATTAAATTGAATATACATTCAATTAAATCAAATGAAATCTTTATTATTAATATTATTATAACTATTAAATTGTAAGGAACGCATTATAAAACAATACAATTTTAACTAAAATAATAAATTAATTTTATAAACTATTTTACAATCATTTAATTTAATCATTAAATTGAATCATATTAAATGTTAATGAACAACTAATTTTCAGTCACTTACTTGAATTATATTAAATGTTAATGAACAAATAATATTTATTAATTAATAATTAAATAATTAATCATTTTAATTTAAATATATACATACATACATCACTATAAATATAAGTTAAAATGTAAATATCAAATAACAAATTCTTTACGATTTAAAGATTAATGAATACATGATATAAATAAGAGTAATATATCTAATTTAATTAACACAAATATAAACATTAATATAAGTATACATATAAATACAACTTTAAATATAAATTCTAACATGAATATAAAATATATACAATAAAAATTTAAATTTATCATAAAGTAATAAATATGAATTAAATTAAACTATATCAAGAATAACAGGGAACAAATTTGAATAACTAATTACTTACATAAGTTTAAAAACAGGAACTTTAAAGTTTTAATAAAGTTAGATATAGTGAAATAAATGGATTAGAAGTAATGGCATAAAAATTAATTCAAAGTATTTCAGATATTTTAAGTAAGTAGTTTATACTTTTAAAATTAAATTAAAATCTTTTTAAACCTTTTTTGTTAAAAATCAGTGAATAAAAATAATTTAGTTTTATGAAATAACTTTACACATTATAGTTAAAAAATAAATTAAAAAATTTGTTGATATGAAACATACTTTATAAATTATTTATTTTTGTATGAGTTTTATGGTTTTCGGAAAAAATGTTATATTGTCTCTTGTTTTTACTTCAAAGCATCAATAACGATAAGAAGTAGTCGGGTGTAAGCAAGTCGTTGCATAGACTCACTAGTCCACTTTATAAAATGGTGTCTTGTTAATAGTCCAAAGCATGGCCTGGTGTAACCAATCTAAAGTATAATCCACTCAGACAAGAATAAGAAGTGGTCAGATGTAACCTGTACATTACATAGTCTTATAGGTCTACTTTATAAAATGGTCTAAGGTAGGCAGTGTAACTAATGGTCCCAACAGGGTAGTTTGCTAAGTGGTCCTATGTTATGCTGCGATGGACCATATGTGGTCAGGTCCAATGACATCGCAATGTTAATATTTAGCACCATTTTTCCCCATATATTTGGACCATTTTGGTTACTAGTATTGGTTACAATGTAGCGTAGTCCTGTACTAGGGTTTAATATGGTCCCACTTTTTGCAGGGTTAGTAAGATGTATGTACATCGGCGTAGCCAGAATGAAATTTAGGGGGGGGGGAGGGGGATCGACCCTATTAAGTTGGCATTTCATGGTACTATTTTATATATATATAAGGAAAATTTGAAAGTTGGGGGGGATGGGGAGGCTCGAGCACCCTCCTGCCCCTACCTGGCTACGCCCATGTGTATGTATGTATATGTAAGTAATGCAAGCAATTGCTTTCGTTGGAAGGAATGTAGGGATAAACACAAATGCGTTTATCTATTATATGTATCTAATAAATGGAACTTACCCTGGGATCCAGTAACTCAGTCTCATCTGAAGTCACTAAATTTGAGATTAGCAATTAGTGATCTTTTTTTGTGACTTGAGCGATTTGGGTATTCAGAATAAGATAGTCACAAAAATTTCACCAAAAATGTGTGGTGAAAGCAAACACAGACAATCAATTGATAGTGTTTATGTATGCCTTATGCCCGTGCCACTCAAAGAGTCGCAATGGCCGAGTGGTCAAAGCATTAGGCTGGCAGCCGAGAGGGTCCCGGTTCAAGTCCTCCTCGGCCGTAAAGGATTTTTTATTTTTTTTATTTAATATATTATTTTTTAATTTTTTATTAGTTTTATTTTTTTCTAACAATCTTCAGATTTTAATGTTTTAAAAACAAACAAACAAATTTTCTTAATACATTTGTATGATGTTACAGCATTTTGGTTTATTTCCTAATGAAATTCTTGTTGACCAAATTTCGTCGCTTAGTGGGGATTAGATTGACTAATGAGAAAAGTGCGCGTCTGGTGAAGACTGAGAGTAAAGAAAAGCAGAAAAAACCATCTAAATTTTGTATTTCTTTTAAATGTTTTGATTCGCCATTCTAAGAATATTAATAAGAAACCAAAAATATACACACGTTGATAGAATAAGAATATGTATGTATGTATGTATTACTCGGAAGAAAACCCAATAAAAGAAGGTCTGCATTTCTTATCCATGCACACATACGTATATATGTATCTACAGTCGAACTTCTCTATAACGAACTTCACTATAGCGAAGTTCTCTCTATAACGAATTTTTTTGAAAAACACTGCATTTTCCTGATGTATTTTACACATTTTTACCTCTCTATAACGAATTTCTCTATAACGTAGTTTTCTCTGTAACGAAGCTTATTTAACAACACAACTGGTGTTTTATGTACCAAATAAACCTCTCTATAGCGAATTTTTTTAGCAGTCGCAAAATTCCAATGAATTTATGCACACACAAATATTGCGGTAAAATACGTTACATTTTGTGTGCCTATTTCAAGGAAAAAAAAATAAATGAAAGTGAGTAAGAAAATCTTAGTTTGTAATAAGTTTTGTGCTGCAAGGTTGTTTTCAAATTAAGATGTCTAAGCGCAAAAGTTTATCTTTTGAAAAAAAGTGTCTTATAATTTCTGCAGTGTCACAAGGAAATAAAAAAAAGAAGGATATTGCTGCAGAGTTTGGAATTTCTCCAACTACTTTGTCAACAATTTTGATGAATAAAGATAAGATTCAAGAATCTAGTTCTTCTGGTATACTTCAGAAATTTAAGAAAGCTAGATCCTGTGAATATCCTGATGTTAATGAAGCCATGATTAAGTGGATCACCGTTGCAAGGCATAAGAACATTCCACTTTCTGGACCGTTAATCAGAGAAAAAGCTGTGGAGTTTGCAGAATCATTGGGACATTCCGATTTTGTAGCTAGCGCTGGTTGGCTTGATAAATTTAAACGAAGACATAACATTGTTGGAAAAGTTGTTTGTGGTGAAAGCGGATCCATTGATATCCAAACTCGGGATGATTGGATACAAAATATTTTACCTTCCCTTATTCAAGATTACGATAAGAATGACATATTTAACGCTGATGAAACAGGATTGTTTTTTTAAATGTTTGCCATCCAGAACACTAGCCTTTCGAAATGAAAAATGTGTTGGTGGCAAAAAAAGCAAGGAAAGAATAACTGTCATGGTAGGTTCAAACTGGAGTGGAACAGAAAAACTTAGACTCCTTGTCATAGGAAAATCCAAAAATCCTCGTTGTTTTAAAGGATTACAATATCTAGAAGTGGATTACGAGAATAACTCAAAATCTTGGATGACTAGTGAATTATATGAGAAGTGGCTTCTAAAGTTGGACAAAAAATTTGCGGCTCAAAAAAGGAAGATTTTACTTTTTATTGACAATTGTCCAGCACATCCAAAATCAGCACAATCGAAGCTAACAAATATAAAAACTGTTTATTTTCCTCCAAATATGACATCATCCCTACAACCAATGGATCAGGGAATAATACAGAACCTGAAACATCACTATAGAAAGCGAATTCTAAAGAAAGTTCTGTGCTATTCAGAGAAAGAAGCTCCTATGTCAATTAGCTTACTTGATGCAATCAGGGATTTAAGTAAAGCCTGGAGCTCCGATGTCAAAAAGGACACAATTTCAAACTGCTTTAAAAAAGCTGGATTTGATGAAGGCATTGAACTACCAGTGGATATTGAAGATGAAAACCTTCCTTTGGCAGATTTGTGGTCCGCGTACGTCGAAGATAACAACATTGAGGATGTAACTATCGAAGATTACATTAATGTTAACAACGAAACATTCACTATGGAGTGCCCTTCCGATGAAGATATTCTGCAAAGCATTCTATCAAATCAGTATGGGCTTAATAGTAAGTACAACATATCCACTCAAGAATCATGAAGAATACCCACTAATATAGTTTTTTATTTAGATTCAGAAAATGATGACTCTGACGCTGATGAAGAAGAAAATGAATTGCCGACATTTTCTCAACTACACTCATTTTCAACACAATAAGAACATTTATGGAATCAAGAAATAATGTCCCGGATGAAATTTTTTCCTTCCTCAATAGATGTGAAGATTTTGTCGATGAAGAGAAATTTAAAAGTTTGAGGCAAACGAGAATAACGTCGTTCTTTCATATTAAATAAGTTTTAATGTTTATATAAATTTGTATGTATCGAAATAGCATTTAATGAAATAAAAAGCTAGTGTTTACATATACATATGTAAATATGTACATACAACCAAATACATAATCAGTAGTTTCTCTATAACGAATTTTCTCTATAACGTAGAAATCGGCGATCCCCAGTGACTACGTTATAGAGAAGTTCGACTGTATATGCATGTACTTATATACATACATATGTAAGTGCATAATTATTTACTGAAAAGTAGCGCAGAATAAGCAGAAATTTTGCAGCAATAATCAAGTAATAACTAAGCGTTGGTTTTACTACGACCTTGCAAAGATGAAATATTTACTTGTGAGCCTTTTTAGCCTGAAGTATGTACATATGTATATGCAATATTGCAGCAGCTTTCTACTAGGTCTGATGATTTCACCCGGGTGGCCTTGGTACCCAGTAATTTTACGATTGTAGAAGTATTAAACTGATGGGAGATAAATAAAAAATAATAATAATAATTTCGTTTTTATAAAATACTAGCTTATACCCGCGGGTTTCACCCCACAAATATGAAAAATAATTTAATTATGTTATATTTTATTTCTGTGCCCATTTTGTTATAGCTCGTTATTTTTTAAGCGAGTTAAGGTATTTAGGCCGTTTAAAACTATGAAATTATAAAATCTCGTCTGCGCGCTAGGCACTCGAAAGATACCAATCCCTCTAAGTTTACCTTAAAATGGTTCCAGGGATCCGATGCGTGAACGTGTAACCTTCTTGGAGGCGCCACGGCGGGTTTTAATATTTGCTACTCAAATTTAGTAACCTAATAATAATATAATATATATAATAATAATAATAGATTGGCGCTTACACATATGTTAGTGTTTGGCCGAGCTTCTCCTCCGACTTGTGGCGTGCGCCTTGATGTTGTCACACAAAGCGGAGGGACCTACAGTTTTACTCCGACTCAGAACGGCGATTGTATTTTAATGAGAAGCTGATTTTCATGGCAGAAATACACTCGGAGGTTTGCCATTGCCTGCCGAAGGACGACCGCTGTTAAGAAAAAAACATTTTTCTATATTTTTTTGGGATGTTGCTTTGACCAGGTGCTGATGAGTGAAAGCGCGCACTGCTTACTACTACACCATAGCGGCCGACAAATTAGGTAACCTGGCCTTGATAAAATACCACTCCTCATTACTGTAGCAAATGCCTCAATAGGTATGTATGCATCATGACAGCTTTACATTATAAGGCCGTACTCGGCTCTCCCTTTTCCATTAAATGACATTTTTTCGACACTTATAAAATAAATCTCCATAATAAATTTAAAATACTTCCAGAGATTTTCTATCCTTCCAGAGATATGTATTATGAAATTTTTAGTATGTATGGGAGGCGATATGCCTCCTTTTTTATTAACTCACATTTTTTCCATGAGCAATTGATACATTTTGTATACACAACTCCATACCAAGTTACAGTATTCTTCCACAAACACTTCCAGGGATATGAGGCGAGAAAAAGTCAATTTGTACAGAAAGTTCCACGCCCCTTTTTCTTATAACCCTAATCTTCTTCCATGAATTTAGAATTGATTTACATACCCCAGTACCAAGTCCCAGTACTCTACCATGAACACCTCTAGAGATATGCAGTATAAAACAGTAAATTTGTACGGGAGGTACGATGCGCCCTTTTCGAATAACGCAAATTTTTCTCCATGAGTGTGGAATTAATTTTGTATACACATCTCGTTGCCAAGTTCCAGTCCTCTGTGGTGGTTCTACAGAACCGAGTGGATATTTCAAAGGATTA